AGTTTTCGTATATATTTGATGAGAAGTAAACTTGTCGAATGAATTGTATTGTGAGTATTGATATGTAAAATAACACATACAATAGTGAGATTAATCGAGGGAACTGGTGAACTACAGGCTAATGGATTTATGCCCACTATCTTCATTAGATATATTCCTCCCATGTGAGTATGATGAACATTTTGACAATATATAGCTAGCTAGGTAGCAACGAGTACTCGCCTAAGTTGACTTCAATTGAGTACTTCAAATGTATATTAAATGGGTCAACTTTTCACATGGTTACTACCTCAGTAGCAGTGAAAAGCGTTGACCAATTCTCAGTTAAGGGCGTTTTAAAGATATTTTTAGCGTGTAAACGAAGGAGCCTGTTAAAGATTAAGTCCCTGTTTTGTGTGAATTAAAATTTTGATTAAATATAAATCAAAGGCAATAATTAATTTTAATTACATGTTTCATAGGATTTATAACTTTTCAACCCCACATTTCATCATTTTTTTAATTTTTTTCCTGAAAATTACTAAAAAAATGATTTTAATCCATATCAAATATGAGCTAAATTCTCGCTTAAGGACGTTTTAAAGATAAATTTAGCGTGTAAATGAAGGAATGTGTTAAAGATGAAGGCATGTTAAAGATTAATGCCCTATTTTGTGTGAATTAAGTTTTTGATTAAATATAAATCAAAATTAATAATTAATTTTATTTACATATTTCATGGGATTCACAATTTTTCAACCACACATTTCATCAATTTTTTTTCCTGAAAATTACTAAAAATATGATTTTATTCCATACCAAATATGAGCTAAATTTAGAATAAATGTATTTTAATATTTAATCGGTTCCCCTCTAAAATGGTGATTTGTTTAAGAATATCAATTTTAAAATTTGTGCGCTGGTTTGAGTCTTGGTCATATCATATCATATTGGTCACTTGAGGTTTGTGTTCCATTTTAAAAAGTTTATCTTATTCAAATGAATATCTTGAGCTCTTATACACTTATTATAATTTCAATAATTAATTAATATGAAATTTATCTTTTAACCTTTAGAACTGTAAACTTTTAAATAAGGTTATCGAGAAGTGTCAGGAGTTGTAAAATATTCTTGGAAATACTCTTCTCCACTACCAACAATCAATCCACCAATAGAAACTCAAAAGAACACACAAAAAAATCTCTGATCTTTAGTATTTTCTATTACAAAATCTTTCGATTGCCTAGATTCCCACCCCACTAAGGGTGTCAAACGACATCAGGGTTCAGCCCACCATTGGGATATGGCAAAGATTTGCCAATTTCTTTACAAGAATTATTCTACTCTACCAGA